GAGCGGTTATTGTTCAGAGGAGTCTCGCTGCGCGCTCCTTTGTTTGCCCTCCTGTGGAACTCTCAGAGGACGGGGGTAAAAAAAAAAAAAAAAAGGGCAGGGGGTGGGGAAGGTGAGGTTTAACAGTTTTATTAAACAGACAGACGCACGAACAAGAAGATGCTGCGGGGGAACACCGATGGGGCTTTTTTGGACCCACTGTGCGTGCCCCACCCCCCCACAGCATGCGCCACTGACATACTAGAAGCCAGGTGGGGGGTAAGCCTGAGATATATGCGTGGAGAAGCAGCAGCAGGTAAAATTGACAATAATCATGCAGAAGCTGAGGAGGATGAGGGATGGAGTATTACAATAGTTACTGTTTAGTGCTGGAGGTGGGAGTTGGGGGGTGGGGGTGGGGGCGCAGGTTAGGAGGGAGCATGCCACAAATGCCTTCTACTTGGAGCAACAGATAAAATAGAAAAACAGATATACTTTGTGGCAATAAAAGTCTTTTTATGCCATCTGCATTCAAACAGACATGTATATGCAGAGAGGCCAAAGGAAAGTCTGATTTGGGATGAAGGAGGAGGTTTTGGGGGTGAAGGAGGTTAACACTCGCGAAAGGGAAGGGGGGGGGGGGTCATTCTTTCACACACAACTTTCTCAAGACAGAATGGGGTTCTTGACAAAACCAAAAAAAAAAAAAAAAAGGATGATGGCAAGAAAAGATTTTGTTGCCGTTCATTTCCCCTACATCGTATCAGAATGGAGTAAAACAAAAAAAAAAAAGTGTTTTTGTACAAAAAAAGATGAACACAGAGAAGATGAGAGGAGCAGTTTGAGTTTTCCAACCCACAAAACTTCATGCGGCGCAAGATGAGGGCAACAACGAGAGGAGCGGCTCTATCCTTGCTTGGAGGATGGGGCGACGGATGATGACGATGATGGTGGTTGATGATGATGATACCAAAGAAATTAGAACAATAATAAAATTAAAATAAAAACAACCACAGCAAAATCAACCAAAATGAAAGTCGCCCCACTCTACCCACTCTGGACCCAAAGATCAACCAAAAAAAAAAAAAGCAAAAATCTTAAGCACCCCAGCTCCTGGTCACGTGCACCACAGGAGGACACAACAAACTCAACAGAAAAGAAACCAACACGTCGTGCAACTGGTCATGTGACTGGAAGCAGGGCGAGGAATGAGGATATGAATTTCTGTGTCCACATGGTGAAATGTACCATCAGTATGAGTGTGCCTCTGTTGCCACTATATGGGGGGGGGGGGGGGTACTGTTCTACTAGGTGAACCTTTACTCATCTGATTTTTGAGAATACTTGGGTTTGAAGTTGTAAAAACTTAATTCAGGTTAAAAAAAAAAATCCAACAAAGTTCAGTCAGGTCATCTGGATGGTTTCTTTTTTTGGTGAGATGTTTCATCCAAAGTACTCCATCAGTCCAAGGAGCCACCAGTTGGCTGGTGATAAGATGGTTTCTGGTGCCCGCCCTCTGGCTATGGCTGCCTGAGAGGAGTCGACGGGGGAGAGGGTGGGCCCCAGAAACCATCTTATCACCAGCAGACTGGTTGGTCCACTATGGGTGTGTGCTGCTTGTGGGACACAGTTTGTCTGTGGCTCCTTGGACTGAAGAAATCCTTTGGATGACGGATGAAACATCTCAACAAAAAGAAACCGTCCAAATGACCTGACTGAACTTTGTTGGGTTTCAGAAGGAAATTAGTAAGAAGCAACCTTTGGGCACATTTATTGACTAAATCTAACATTTTAAAATGTCAGAATGTCATAATTTGATTAACATATTGAGTTACAGTTCATTGAGGCTTCACTGACAAGAAAGTACACATCTGGAGGTGAACTGATATTTAGAGCTAATACTGATGCAGATTTGTCCACGTCAGGACAGCCAGTAGATGATTTGAAGCTTTGTTTCTTTATGGCCAACTAGTTATAACAATTCATTATCCAGAAACATTCAAAAGTGCTACATTTGGAAAAATGAAATTTGGGGTTCAGGACGATGTAAAATGTTCTTATCTAATAGTAGAAACGTACAGGCTTCAATAATAATAATAATAGAGCTGTTTTTAATGTTAAACATATTTTTCTTAATTCAGTTAAGATTAAAATTGTTCTTGTGCAAAGCGAAGATTGTAAACAATATCAAATAAAAACATAAAAAACCTAATCATTGTTTTGGAAAAATCTTTAACCAAGACGAGAATGTTTGTTCTCTGTAACTTGATAATGTGGATGTTCTCGTCAACTAGTGGCAAAGAACAAGTACTGTAACATTTCTTAAATGTCTGAACTGAAATTTGTATATCCACCTTATTCCTGCTGGGGCTCCACTGTCTAAATGATTATGGGTACAACTTCCTGTCAGACAGGAAGTAGTAGTAAACATTAGCTAACCACGGTAGCAGAGAACGAACCGCGGTTTATTTGAAAGTAAGTTTAGCAGATAAAACACTATTTTTGTTTTCTTCACATTTATTTAACAACCATAAAGTTTCCTATAATAGCCGTGCTGAGTTCAGGTACCTGTTGTGTTCACGGCTGCATGAACAACCGCACCAAATTAAATCAGTGGCTACAACAACAAAGTTTTGAACACGGACCCAGAACAGAGAGTTCCTGTGAAAAGCTGTATACTTTCCATCTCCTACCTACAGATGAGGAATTAAGAAGAATGTGGCTGAAAAATGTGAACTTGAAGAGACCACCCAAAACTCTGTATGTGAGCTCATTTCACTTTGTTGACAAATGGCCGACGGAGGAAAACCAGCATCCTACTTTGTGTCTGGACTACAATAAACCACCGGAGAGGAGACACCGGATCCTCAGAAGGATTGAAAACAGTGACGAGAACATCAGGTCTGATTTCAAGTGTATGGAGGCACAGCTTTATAGTATTTGTTCATCTTTGGCATTACATGTTTTTCTGATAGGTCTTTAAGGTTTTGGCTGGGCTCCATGTCTGCTTTAAGATAAATAAGATTGTGTCCCACCTCTTTTAACAAAACATGACCGACCTTATTACTGTGTAGATACTGATACACCTCAGAGCTTTTCAGGTTGTTCATCACTTCACTGTTGGAAGAACCGAGTCAGTGACCGAGCTAAATAGTCACCGAGCTAAATATGCTGATATAAGTAGCTAAATATGCTAGTAGATGTAATCTGCAGCCACTTCTTCAGCTCGTCCTCAGCAGGCAGCAGGATGATTATATTGTCCTGTTGGAGCTCTGACAGGTGGTGTTTCTACATGTTTAAATTAAATCCACAGTGATCGGAGAAACTGCATTAGCTCGTGCTGTTCGCTCATAAACAAACGCCGGTTCTGGTCCGCACCAGAAGTCACGCCCATAATTCATGCAAGGCAGCATGGAGGCTAGGAATAAGGTGGATAAACAGAATAAAAAGTTTGAATTTAAAACATGTAGCATGGACAGGGCCCTTATGTGTTCAATAAAAGGGAGTTTTTTCTTTCCACTGTCTCCTTTGTGCTTGCTCAGGATGGGAGACTGCAACGAAGTGAAGATTCAACTTGTCTGCTGGATTCCTTAGATACAGAACTTTACTAATTGGATTTTATGTGAATGTTTGTGTAAAGTGCCCTGAGACAATTTGTTGTGATTTGGCGCTATATAAATAAACTAAACTGAATTAAAATTGAATTGAGTTCAATTGGGGCTGATAATTAAAATTTGGCTTAAGTAATAAGTTGACTAATTTATCGGTCTAGTGCTTGTTACAATAGTAATAAAATATCCACCAAACTTGTTAAACGCCAGAGTTGTGCTTAGAAACAAATGCTTCATCGCGTTCTGCACTCTTAGAGCCTTGTTTTAATCTCGGCTTATTATTAGCAGTGAAAAGTGGACATATGCTTGGTGTTTCGCTGAGTCGTGTTCGGGCAGATTAGTGCAGCATCAATTAGTCCACTGCGGTGGTATTTTGAAGGACAGTGAAGCAATCAAATAGCCTGAGCTGTTAATGATTTCCAGAGTGCCTACGGGGAGCAGCTTGTCAAGCACCGAGCCAGCTTTTACTCGGCTCACAGTCTCCTGGTTTCCACCACGTCACGAGGACGTGCGCCAGCTGCTCTGAGGCACGACAGTGATTGACAGCTGCTCACTATAAAAGTCTTTCAAACCCAAGCTGCCTCAAAAATACCACTCCTTTTAAATCTGAGGCATTATTTCTAGCTCTTTTATTATATCTCTAAACTCCAGTGTCTTATCACTTTGATGGGATCACAAAGTGATACCTGCGTGCAAGTTTGCGTAAAGGGGAGGAGGAAAGAGAGATGATGTGCACAGAAATTCGAGGATATCTGTTCTCTATTAGAATGTTTCAGGTAAGGCAAGCCTCCGACGAGGAAAACAGAGGTACGAGACAGGAGAAGAAGAGGGAAGGAGGACGCTCTGTTGCAGTTAGTCTGCTACATATCACAGTATCTGGGCTGAAAGCATCTTTGTTCTCGAAAGAATCTCAAAATGTATCGTCTGTCAAGAGAGACGCACACACGCACAGCAAGAGGAAGTCAACCAAGTACAGAGCAGATACATTTTGAAGCATCAGTGAAGGCGACATGTGGCTTGATACTAATCTTTGGGTAAAGTTTCGCTCTCAGCTGGACGTAGAGAGAACTAAATTAGTATCAACGCGTCATCATGTCTGCAACCAGTGGCCCCATAGCTTAGTGTAACTTGTGCTTTTAACGTCTTCAGTTAAAGTTGTGACTTTCTGAAAAGGTCACGCTAAATAGACTCTAGCTTTATCCATCTCCAAAGAGTTTTTAAAACAAAACTCTTGATGCGGTGAGAGCTCCTCACGCAAATGGATGTTTCTTTTTTTGGGGGGGAAGTTACACTTGAAGCTCTCATGGGGCATGATGCTCAGAGGAGAAGCTCCTCGGTAGCAAATCAAAGAAAGACAGGGAGAAATAGACCAGGTTTCAGAGCAAGCACAACTTGACACACTCATCCCACCTGTGTGTCCGGAGTCGCACTCCTCCAGGTCCTCGTCGTCGCTGGAGCACTCGGCGGACGAAACGATGTCGTCGGTGGTCTGTGGAGGAAGCACATTCACAGGGAGGGGGAGGAGGACAGGGTTAGAGCTGAAGTAGTACACACATTCAAGGGTATCTCGGCGCACAGACACCCTCCGCCCATCCTTCAGCTCCCATATATCACTTGGAGTCAATCATATTTCACAGTGTTTATCATTCTTTACTTTATGTGCTTTCCTCCTCCGCAGATAATTGTTTTCCTTCACCCTCCGTGCTCCGCCTCGGATTATTTATCGCCCCTCTCCTCCTCCATCGTCCACAATCAATGAACTCCGCCAAACCCGCACGGCTCAACAGCTTCCCAGCCTCTGATTTGTGCTGGAGGCTGCAGGAGGAGGGGACGGGGGCCGCCAGAGTGTCTGGCTACACCTGGACCAACCGTGGATTATCTGCACCCTCCAGTTCTCACAAATCTGATTTATCCCACCCCTTCCCATCCCCCTATTCTGGTCAACCCATGGAGGACAGAAGGGGTAGGGGGTGGGTGTTGTATTTCAGCAGAGGTGCGCTGGGCAGCCGGCATTTATTAGAATGAATCAACGGGGCGATAAAATAAGCCCTGTCACCAAGCTGGGTTATGAAATCAGAGTGCTGATTGAGTTTTCCAGTCCTGGCCGGGGGAGTGGGGGCTCTAAATATCATTGGGCTTGACAGACTAATGAAACGCGCCCCCGTGCTTGTTCTGCTGTATTCAACAGGGCCAACAGAAAGCTGTCCTCATCTGCCAGATGCTGAAGCACAAACAAGCCGCACAATGAAAAGGCAGATTTTTCTAAGCACATTCCTAATGCGCCCCGTGATTACACACGATGGCCCGTGCTATTTTCTGTTTCAGTACATTTGTAAATGTGTTAATGTGCTGCTTACGCTGCTGTGCATAACACACCACATTATGTACTGTACTCCATTCTGAGGAGGCTAAAGCAGGAGGGGGGGCTCGAGAGGAAATTGCTGTAAAATATGGCCTCTTGGTAAACATGGCATTATTTATTGAAGCCACATTATGGGTGTAAAGTCTTGCTTATTGCTTGTTATTATGATGGCAGCAGATGTGGGAGGCAGGCACACGGGGGAGGGGATGAAACACAGCTTCAAAGTCTGTTCCAACAAAAAACCTCCGTCCTTCCTCATGTCTCTGCAGCTGACGTCCAAAACATCTCAGCTCAGGAAATGTTGGCATGGAGGCACCACGTCGCAGATATTTAAAATCCAAACGTTAAGCTAACACGAGGGCCACCGCACCAGCTGTTAAATATTAAACAAGGATTGCTGCGCCGGAGTAGCATCGTTACGGATCGTTCCGCAACAGAAACATCTGCTTTAACAGCAGAGATCACTCTAATAGTTATCTGGAGCCAGTGGTGCTGATAGATTTTTATGTATCGTGTGTGTGTGTGTTATGCACATTTGAGTTTAAGTGTTGATGTGTCTGTTACCAAAACATCTCATGAACCACTGAATGGATTTCATTGAAACGTTCTGGAAACAATCATTGCATGTGCATCTACAACTGGTTAACCTTTGGAGACAACCCTATTAAAAATGGCTGCCACAGCAAACTGGCCTTAGAAAACAATAAAAAGGCTTTAATTCAGTTAATCTTGCAGGTATTGTGCCAAACTTTGCTGTAGTAGTAGCTTAGAGTCTCCACAACACATATTCTAAGTGATATGCACAGCTTTGCCTAAAATCTTAGCATGAACTAGAGTTGCATTCAGGCCTAATAAATCCAGCCTGGACCGGACCAGCCCGTAGTTGTTTTTCCCCAAACCCTAACCGGACCCAACGGATTACCAGTAATTAGAGGGCTGAACCTGAAAAAATAGCCCCAAAAAATGGCTTTTTAAAAAATTTATTAAGTTTTTACTGCTTTTGTACACAAATCAGTTTGATATGATAGTTGTAAAAACAAAATGAAAGGAAGATATAAGATTTATGTTTATTAACAAATTGCCGAATGGATATTTACATACAAAACAAAAAGCCTAAAAATCAACTGTAAAGATAGGCTGTTATACAGAATGGTAAATGGACTGTACTTATATAGCGCCTTTCTACCTTATTTCAAGACACTCAAAGCGCTTTACATCACAATCTGTGCCTCATTTACCCATTCATACAGCACTCTACTACATCCCTACAAAGATAATTGAACAAATCATTCTAAAGAGACTAATCAGAGCTTTATCACATTCATACACTGATGGGACACACATCAGAGGCAATGAGGGGTTCAGTGTCTTGCCCAAGGACACTTAGACATGTGACTGCTGGTGGATTTGAACCCCCAACTCTCGCATTGGAGGACGACTGCTCTAACCACTCAGCCACAGCCGCCCCCATAGAGATGAACAAAATTATTGTTAGAGCAAAATTATTTGGGAAAATCTAGAAGAAGGCTATTTTAACTGAGCGCGCTGCTCGCTTCAGCTTTTGTAGATGCTGCTACTTCCTTCACGCAGATGACAGCAGGTGTGGAGATGTGTACAGCCAATCAGCTGATCGATCGATCGATCCATCCATCCATCCATCGATCGATCGATCCATCCATCCATCCATCCATCCATATCCGCTTCTTCCTTTTGGGGTAGCGGGGGTCGCTGGTGCCCATGTCCAGCAGTCACTGTGCGAGAGGCGGGGTACACCCTGGACAGGTCTCCAGTCCACTTCAACCAGCGAGTCAGCGGACGTGTGCGGCCGGTCACAGGTGTCCATCTGAGTTTTAACGCAACTTTTTTAAACCTCTATAAACCGGCCGGTCGGACCTCCCTCCTCCTTAACAAGTAAATTAACACAATTTTATACTGTGAATTCTTATTTAGTTTTCTTTGTACTGTATGATTCGTAAAACCGCATCTAAGCCAGAGACCGGCCCAGCCCACACATTAATCACATTATAATGGTCTGGACTGGCCCTAATCCAGGTCAGTCCGGACCAAATTTCGGGTTCGGGTTAGAAATGACAGCTCTAGCACGAACCATTGGTCAATCTTTTTGTCTGTTAGCAAAATATTTCATAAACCACTAGAGGGATGTCAATGCAACTTTCAGAAATGAATCACTGAATGTTTATTTATAATTTTTGAACTTTTGGAGTTATTCCATTATGAGATGGCTGCCATAGTTTATCAAAATTACACAAGATAAATATGGCTATAATTCTGTCAGTTTTAAAATTATTGAGGTAAAATCTGATCAGGTTGTAGCTGAGAGTCATTCACAAATCATACTCTGAGTGAGACGTCTCACACCAGTTGTGCTTAATTAACTTGTCCATTTCTTGATATGAATTCCTTCAAGTACTGCTAGGTGTTTACCAAGTCACGATGTTACCAGGCTAGATGAGTAAATTTAAAAAAAGCAGATCAATGTAAGACCTGCAGTGAGTATCGCCAGACATTTTATCTTCTGTAAACTTCTTGGAGAAAAAGAATCCACTTTAAAGACTGAGTTGTGTATAAAAGGCAGAACGTCTCTGCTAAATCAGAGTAAGAGACCATCTCATGGTGATCACTCTGATTCCACTCAGAGAAATTGAAAGGGGGGTTTGAAGTGCGATGTTTGACCTTTGGAGACCTCTCGACACGCGCTTGATTAGGTTTTACAAACATAAGTTGCATCTCAGGAGTCAGTTCAGAGTGAAGTGCTCCTTGTGGAAGGCTAAGGGTGCCGGCTCTTTGCATTTGAGCTCATACAGAACAAATAAAGTGGCAAACGTGGTCTCCTCCAAGTTGACCCATGACTTCAGTAATAACATAGAGTACTGTAAATGGCTTCATGGGTGCTGCGGTGGAAAGCAGATTATTGCAGGAGGATTCAGCTGATCTGAGGGAATACAGATAAACACATTCACAGCTGAGGACATCTAATTCTCTGTCCAAATCTCTATAACATGCATATACGTCCGTCCGTCCGTCCGTCCATCCATCCATCCATCCATCCATCCATCCATCCATCCGTCCGTCCATCCATCCATCCATCAATTTATTATTTATTAACCTTTATTTAACCAGACAAATCACATTGAGATCATCACATAGCTCTTTTGCAAGGGAGGCCTAGGCCTGAAGGCAGTCCATGTTTTTGGTCTGTGGGAGGAAACGGGAGTACCCAGAGACAACCCACTCAAGAACAAGAAGAACGTGCAAACTCCACACAGAAAGACCCCAGGTCCAACCGGGGATTGAACCCAGGACCTTATTGCTGTGAGACAACAGTGCTAACCACTGAGCCGTCTTGCTGCCAATACATCCATCCATGCATTGTCTTTCATTTATTCTGAAGTCGGGTCTTGGGGGCAGCAGCTTGAGCAGAGAGGCCCAGACATCTCTTTCTACAGCCCCTCTTCCAGCTCTTCTGGGAGGATTCCAAGGTGTTACCCGGCCAACTGAGAGACTATTACTTGAACTCCTCCACTTGAGGCAGACATGTAATTATTTTCTACAAAAATTGTCATCTTTGTTTTGAGCATCTGGTTGGGAGTATTTTGGTACTTTCAAAAAATAAAAATACATTAATTATTTTGTAAAAAAAATAAAGCAAAAACAATATTAGCATTGCACCAGATTATATTGTTTACCCAGCTTTCAGTTGACACTCAAAGTCTACCAACAAACAGCAGAGACTAATCAATAGTCAGACTTCATTAAAAGAGCATTTACCTCCGAACACTTCAATGATCGATGCAGACAGATGGTCTCCTTGGGACACAAGTTAAAAAATAAAAAATAAAACAATACACAACGTTCACTTTACAACTGATGGCACAGTCAGAGGAGATGGCGCGGTGGTTTAGTCTTGAGTTCTGGGAATCAGAAGAGGCCATTTTACCACTCAGGCCTGACCTCAGACCAACTGTAAACCCTGAAACCTCCTTCTGTTACCTACACCATCAAGTCCAAGTTTAAATATTTTATCAGTGGAAGCGTTTTTATTAAATGTGTAATCTGCTGAGTGTAGTGTGGAGTGAAAACCCATCAATAATCATATGTTGATTGTT